ATGGTGTCACTGACCTGGCATCACACATCAAGGACATTCATCAAGTGGCTTTGGGGTGCAAAGCTTTCCGCCAGGTTCCTCCAGGACACAGAACACGCCGTTACCCAAGACATTACCCTGAAATATCAGCTCAGACTAATTTCCTCATTCTGCAGCCGCTCAGAGGACGGGTCCACAGCTGCTTGGCTGACCAGGATGAGTGGTGCTCCAAGGGCAGGCCAACCCCCACAGGCTACGCCCCCCAAACCAGTGCACGGATGTGTGCACCAGGCCTCTAGTCTCTATATATATAAAAGCCTAAGTGACCAAATGACCGAACAACCAGTCGACCAAATGCTATGACACGCACTGACCACCAGGGGGCAGACGTTCAATGCAGGAGCTGCCCCCTGGCGGTCAGGGCGCTCCCACAGTGGGAGCGTTGCTCAGCTGACTACTGGGTGCCAGACGCTGGGCTCATGGCTGGAAAGCGCAGCTGTGGCATCCTGAGCCTCTCCCGCCTCCACGGCAGCACACTACCAAGTGGTGGCAGAGGCGGCAGGTGCTGCGGGGCCAGGATGAGCAAGAGCGGCACGGCGCCCGGCCAAGGCTCAGGCTCCTCCCTGGCCACCTGCTGCTTCGCACACTACTACATCCCTCGGGGGATGCCGGACTGCCCCAAGGGGTCCTGGATTGTGACAGGGCGCAGGCCAGGCTGAGGGGCCCCGCCGGTGCACGATTCTGTGCACAGGGCCTCTAGTTAGTAAATATTAGAAATATCATTTTTTAAAATAATTATTGTTGAAAGTATTACAAATATCCCCTCCTCCCCCCTCATTGACACCCTCGTCAGCCCCTGCCCCTTACCCCAAGCCTTCACCAACCTATTGTCTGTGTCCATTGGTTATGCATATATGCAATACAAGGTCTTTGGTTGATTATCTCCCACCCACCCAACCTCCACCACCTTCCTTCTGAGATTCTGCACTCTGTTCCATGCTTCCATGTCTCTGAATCCACTCCATTCATCAGTTTATTTTGTTACTTAGATTTCACATGAGTGCGATCATGTGATACCTGTCTTTCTCTGAATGACTTATTTCACTTAGCATGATACTCTCCAGGTCCCTCCATGCTGTCATGAAGGATAAGAGGTCTTTTTACTGCTGCATAGTATTCCATGGTATAAATGTACCACAGCTTTTTTATCCACTCATCTACTGATGGGCACTTACTTGGGCTGTTTCCAGATCTTAGCTATTGTAAATCGTGCTGGTATAAACATAGGGGTGTATACATATATTTCTTAGAATATATTCCTAGAAGTGGGATCACTGAGGCAAATGGCAGTCCCATATTTAAATTTTTTAGGACACTCCATACAGTTTTCCATAGTGGCTACACCAATCTGCATTCCCACCAGCAGTGCACAAGGGTTTCCTTTTCTCCACATCATCGCCAGCACTTGTCATTTGTTGATTCGTTGATGGCAACCATTATGACAGGTGTGAGGTGATACCTCATTGTCGTTTTAATTTGCATCTCTCTGATGATCAGTGACTTTGAGTATTTTTTCATGTCTCTTGGCCATCTGTATGTCCACTTTGGAGAAGTATCTATTTAGGTCCTTTGCCCATTTTTTAATTGAAATGTTTGTCTTCCTTTTGTTAAGCTGTATGAGATCCCTATATACTTTGGATATTAACCCTTTATCAGATGTATCATTGCCAAATATGTTCTCCCATACAGTGGGCTCCCTTTTCACTTTGTTGATGGTTTCTTTTGCTGTGCAAAAACTTTTTATTTTGATGTAGTCCCATTTGTTTATTTTCTCCTTAGTTTCCTTTGCCATAGGAGATGTATTGGTAAACATATTGCTATGAGAGATGACTGAGATTTTGCTGCCAATGGCTTCTTCTAGGATTTTCATGGTTTCCTGACTTACATTTAAGTTTTTTATCCATTTTGAGTTTATTCTGGTGTATGGTGTAAGTTGAGGAATACCATTTTTTTTTAATTTCTGTGACATCAAAAAAACTGGGACTCTGAATACCTTTTTCAAATTTTCCTCACTAGCTAGAATTCCTAGTGACTTTGTGGCTATACTACAATAGAAGATCTAGATACTAAGAAACAAATCAATTAAAAAGAATTTTTTTTTAATCCTCACTCAAGGATATGTTTGGAGGGAGGGAAGGGAGGGAAAAAGGGAATGAGAGAAAAAGGGAGGGAGGAAGGGAAGAAGGGAGGGAGGGAGGGAGATCGGTTACCTCCCATTAATGTCCCAACTGGGGATTGAACCCAAAATCTCTCATGGGACAATGCTCTAACCAACTGTGCCACCTGGCCGGGGTTAAAAAGAATTTCTTAAATAGCTCTATACCTATAGCAAGGAGACAATTTCTCATTTAAGCCACTAGAATGTTGTAATAAAATTAGTCATTTAATAAACATGGAACCCAGTACATTAAGGAAATCTAATCACCTTCCTAGGGATTTGGCTAATTAGAAATGTATCTCTACCCAGTGAAAAACTTGCCTCCAATTCATGTACTTCTTCTTCTCCCTTACCTAGTAACATCTTATTTCGTGCTGTACCATAATAAATTTCTACATAAACTGGCCAAAAGGCACCCACAGTTACTTAAGCTTCTTGTACTACTTGACTACAGATTTCGCTGATACTTTAGTGTCAGCTATTACATGCAAGCAGTAAGACAGAATGCAATTGGGTATTTATGGAAATTTTTTAAAGACCCAAAAGAAAAAGTAATCTCAAAGCATTCCCTTCAGGTTTTCTTCCATAAAATAAGAAGGCAAGTTTTTACAGTTAACCAAATAAACAATTTACTGAGAAACTGTGGCAGGAATAAACTGAAGAACACAAAGAAATAGAAGATGAATATCCCTATCTTCAGTGATGTAACAATCCAGTTAACTAGAAAACACACACACACACACACACACACACACACACACAATTTAAAAAGCCCCAAAATGGTAAATGAGTGTCAAAGAACTACCACAGGCAATAAATGCCATGAACTCAGAAGTGAAAAGAGACCAGTCAGGGTTAGCCAGAGAAAAACAGAAGCATAGCAGATGGACTCTGAGGTGGGCCCTGAAAACAGAAAGAAAAAAGCTAAGGAATCCCAAAGGGGGAGAATGGCATGAACAAAGGAAGGGAAACTGGAAAATATGAAGCAAACTTAAAGAGAAATTCAAGCAAAGCCAGTACATGTAAGTAAATAGCAGGAAAGGTTGCTAGGAAGATACATTAGAGTCTGGTTTGGTTTGGGAGAATTCTTGGATGCCTCTGTAGAGAGAGACTGAATACCATCGTATGTAAGCAGAACTTTATCACTGAACACTGGAGGGAAAACTGACTTTGTTGACTTATTATTCTGTAATACAAAGACTGAAGGGCAATTTTACATCAAATGTTGACTTCAAAACTCCACTTCAACACGTAAGGTGAAACTCCAGTGTAATACCTTTACAGAAGTATGTGCGAGTATATCTTTATGTGTACACAGACACATAGAAAAGTATGAAATAAATCAAAACTGTTAAAAGTTTTAAGTTAACTGATAAATTTTTTAAAATTAGAGGCTACTATATGCCAGGCATTGAAATAGAGTGACAAAACAGACATAGTGCTGGCCGTCACAGAACTAAAAGACCGCTACAGACATTAAAAACAGTGAGTTTGATTGGTATGAGTGCCACAGCAGACATACAGGAAGCAATGAGAATTTATAATGGAAAGCTCTATTGAATGTAGTGTAGGAGTCAAGAATACCTACCTATGGAAATGACTCTATAAGCTGAGACCTAAAGAACAATTAGAAATTAATCAAATATTATGGAGAGTCAATTTTCCAGGGGCAAAAGGCAGCAGTTGAGAGAGTCAAGTTTTATCTTCTTCATGCTTATTTGCTTTTTCTAGGTTTTCTAAATGCATGAGTATTAAAAAGGAAGAAAAAATTAAGGGTGAACATCAAGGTTTACAGTTGTGAGTACGCAAAACAGTTTATTCTTATATTATTATGTATTAATTATTGTATTATTTTTCATATGAACAACTGTAAACGTGCTTTTGCCCCACTCTGTATTTACGCCTTTCACTAAGTATATTTCATAACCAAAAATCTAGTACCAAATACCTTCCTCATTGTATTTTAATATAGACTAGTATGACTCAAATGTTTCATCCTCATTTCCTATGAAGAAATATGAATTTAAAGCATCTCCCTTCGCAGTGTTGGACTAAACTAACTCTGAAGGCAGAAATTATTACTATATAAAGTAGTGAGGTAACAGCATGAGCAGAGACAATATCTAAGCAACATCACAACTTCTGAGACTACAAGATTTCATCAGGGACCTGGATAAGGGTCAAAAAGGACAGAGATCAGTTAATACTGGCCACAATGTAGTATACTTACTAAAATGCCCTCAAGGCAACTAGACTGGGGGTGAAGTCGATAAAAAAGCTTATTTTGTGTGGCCCAAAGAACAATCAAGAAGAAGGGAGATTAGTGGGTTGAGGATAAACAACCCTTTAACATTCTATAACCAAATGCAGAGATGGAGAGAAAAATCAATAGGCCCGCGACTCTATATAGG